CAGGATTTTAAGGAATAGATGCGTCAAAAAAATACGGCATGAAAAAAATGCCTACTTTTCCTCCACTCTCCTGGCATCACATGGAAATGCCAGGATTTTTTTTTTTAAACAATCAAATGTATCGAAAAGGCATTCAAAACAGACAATCTGCCCGTTGAGCTTAACCGAAATGAGGAATATTTTTCAGATCCCAAAAAATAGTTGACAACTTTAACCTTCATTTTTCTGAAGCTGGTAATCTTTTTGATAATGTATTGGGAGTCACCCCTGCTCATGCAAATTCCTACACCCCTGTCCAAACATTAAACGAATTTAGTTTCCAGCCAATCCACGAAAGTAATGTTCTGAAACAACTGTCCTACCTCAAAGGGTCCTCCACTACCGGAGCAGATAGTTTTCCCGTCTTTGCTCTATGAACTGTTGGTCACCTAATATACAAACCTATAGCCAATATTTTCAACCTATCCATCAAAGAAGCATCAGTTCCTCTAGAATGGAAACATTCCTATGTCCATCCACTTCACAAAGGGGCCCTAAAAATGATCCCAATAACTACCGACCTATCTCAATTTTGTCCCCATTGATGAAAATTTTTGAAAAATGTTTGAACTACCAAATTAGCAGTTTCCTGTCCATCAACAATCTACTACATCTAAAACAATCTGAGTTCTGAAAAAAATACAGCACCACATCTGCTGCATTAGACTCTCTGAATCAAATTTACAGTAGCCTTGATAATAAGCAGTACTGTGCCTGTCTCTTTCTTGACCTGTCCAAAGCTTTTGATACAGCAGACCACAACACCCTGCTTAGTAAACTAAGTTGCCTCGGTTTTTCTGAAAACACAGTACAATGGTTAAAAAATTACCTCTTTTCTCGCACCCAAACTGTATTCACAGATGGTTGGAGGTCAAACAGTGTTAAGATAACAAAAGGGGTTCCACAGGGATCCATCCTCGGCCCCCTCTTGTTCTCTCTTTATGTCAATGACTTGGGCACTGACCTGGATAATTCCAGGGTAAATGTTTTTGCAGATGACACGATACTGATTACTGCTGGCCGCTCTCCGGATGACGTGATTGCTAAGCTCCAGGGTGATTTCAACAAACTACAACATCTGCTAGTTGCTCTTAAACTAGTCCTGAATACCTCAAAAACCAAGGTGCTATGCTTCTCACCGGGACTAAAGCAGGAAGTTATTTTTCCCCAATTACATTCCTTAAATAATTATCAAATAGAGTAAGTCAAGATCTATAAGTATCTTGGGGTCATCCTGGATTCAAAACTTAATTTTGAAGATCACATTGATTATATTGGTTAAAAGACAAAAAAATGGTTTTCTGTATCGACACAAGCACTGCTTCCCCCCTATGTTCCGTTTGGAATTGATAAAAGCTACCATACTGCCTCTACTTGATTACTGTGATATCGTGTATAAATCAGCCCCAAGTAATGTACTGAAGAAGCTTGATTCCATCTATCACTCGACCTTAAGATTTGCATTGAACTGCCCATATAGGACTCACCACTGTGATCTCTACATTGGGTCAAACTTAACATCTCTTAATGTTCGACGGCTTGTGCACCAGATCTTATTTATTCACGCTGTACTTACAAAAAAAATCCACAGACTACCTGCTGGATCTCCTCTCTGTCTCAAATAACAAATTTGACCTCAGGTCTTCGCTCATTTACCAGCTTCACATTCCCTATTGCCGTACAAAAACTGGAGGAAGGGCCTTTGCTATTGATGCCCCCAGGGTCTGGAATGCTATTGCCAATAAACTGCAACTTGAATCACTACCTATGAGATCTTCACTCAAAACTGCTCTAGAGGAGTTGTACACCCCTAGCTGCCACTGCTATTCAGTGGCCTAAAATAAAATGTTTCGCTCCGGATGACCGCTGCAAAGTATTAACTGTATTTGATTTAGTGTGCTGATCTTAAAGGTGCATTGAAAAATGTGATACTCCGATTGATGCTCCTGTTGTTTGTGGAGTGACTCATGCAGCCAGCTATGGCTCTAGGGTTTGGTGTTACATGTTATTTATGTAGTTAATTGTTAAAAATTCGGTCACAGTCCCTATGATCACTGTTACATTGCATTTATGGCTTTATTTTGATTTCGAAAAGTTTTTTGGTTTGGCCATGTTTGTGTTTATTGTAGTACGCAGTTAGACTGATGGCCTTAATCTTAGTTGTTTTATGTTTGTTGTTGTTGTTTGACTTGCATCCCACTGGGATTTTTGCACACAGCGTTGGTGTACGGTGCTATTTCAGGAATATTTTGATGGGTTTTTTTTCCCTGGATTTTCTGTTTGCACAGTCACACAGTCACTTTAAGATGTTTTTTTGTTCATGTTTTTGTTTGTTGTGGTTGCACCCGATTCAAGAGCCGAATGGCTCACAGGGCTATACAAATAAATAAATGGAACTATAAATTGAACATGTCCTTTGGATTGCACTCTCATACTCACATGTCCTTTGGATTGCACTCTCATACTCACATGTCCTTTGGATTGCACTCTCATGCTCACATGTCCTTTGGATTGCACTCTCATGCCTTTGGATTGCACCACTCTTCGATCTCACATTAACATGCTAATCTCTCACATTAACATAGCCACTTCCGTGCCCTAGTCGAGGAGGCTGCTCTCCTATCTTACATTAACATGCTAATTTCTCACATTAACATAACTAGCCCCGCCCACTTCTTTATGATCCTTGGGCTACAACCATTTCAAACCTTTTAAAACAGTCTGCATCAGCAGCAGACCATGCTTCCCCTCCTGATGACGGATACTTGTGTTGCGCCCGAAACGTCGCAATTTATTTTATTTTATACCTACGTGACTTTACCGAAAGAACCAAAGAGTATGGATTCCTGCAGTCACGAAAGCTTCAAATCAATTATAATCTGCCCGATACGACTTAGGCTACGGGGAATTTATGATTGAACATTGACTCCCGTGACGCAGTTGTCTTTTTGCGCTGGTTTATATTTGCTTCACTGCCGTATCGAAACTTTATTTGTTTTGCCATTTGACCGTTTTGGTGACCCCCCCCCCTCCCGTGCCACGCTTGCAAACGAGAGTTACCCTGGTCTCGTTGATGGGCACGTGCAGATTAGTCACGCATTATTTTTTCTTACGTGTACGAACATTCTTCATCTGAGACTTTTTAAAATAGGGCCCTAGATTAATAATAAAAACAGCTGTCAGCGACTCGCCGAACGAATTTTGCGAGCGTTATAAGTCTGATCCACGATAATATTACAATTAATCAAATACCAACTTTTAGGGTCTAAATCTGGTTGGGGAAGGCAATCACCCCACCTTGAATCCACCAAGGTCGAGCAGGCCCCTGGTTAATGCAGAGGCTTTTGGGGCCTTCGGATTTTGAGACCCTCTCAAAAACATACTGCTTTTTAAAACAGCTGAAACGCCGCAACACAAACAACCGACATTCGCCCCTAAGTGGCGGTGACAGCACCACGGCGCTTGTGCCAGGCTATGTGCACTTTAAGGCAACGTGAAGTGTCGAATGCCCGCTGGCAGGTCACGGAGCAGATCCAGGTGCCATCGGTAGCACTATAATACACCCCTATCGGGTATTCTGGTGATTAAAGCCATAGATTCGCTGTGTGTATTACTGCCAGTGAGGCACAACCAGGGGCGGAGCCAGGGGGGGTGACAGGGGTGACAAGTATACGACACTCGGTCTGGCGGACTCCGTGCAACTGCATTGTCAGAGTGTGTCCGCCAACCGATGGCGTCTAGCTCAACAGCCTGACTCTCTAATCATTCCTGAAATAAAAATTTGTTGAATGTCACCCCGCCTGAAATCCTGGCTCCGCCCCTGGGCACAACAATTAAAAGTTTTAAGAATAGGGTTTTTCCCCCATATTCTTATATTTTGGTACTGGCAAAGGAGGTCTAATGATGTAAATTAAAAGTTGTGTTCGTTTTAACTTTGATTCAGCTTTACAATTCGTGCGTCACGTGTAGCAACCAGAGTTGAAACAACCAGGGTGAATTACAGTCTGTTCTCCTGCAACGCGTTGTTTTCACAACGCGAATTGGATATAACGCGATGATTGTATTCGGCAACACATCTTTTTTTAATAACGCGGATGCGAATTGGATGCAATGCGATCAAGCGAACGGAACTGTGTCGCGTGAGTAGACACAAGCGGTCGTACGGCTGCCTCGGCGTAGCATCATCGCACAAGGCGGGATGCTGCTGGATGCTTCTAGATGCTACCCACGCGCCTCGGTCTTTCTTCAGCCTGCGTGCGCATCTCGTGTTATCGCGGACTGTGCTTTACCCTACATTCTTCATTATAACGCGATTTTTTTCCATTACGCGGTGTCCTTCAGGAACTGCCACTACGTTATATGAGGACACGACTGGACTATGGAGTGTTTCAGTATCGGGCATGGGTGGTGATAAAGAGTCGCAGTGATGTCTTGCTTAAACGAGCATTGAGGCATTGGTGTTCACCTCCTGCTTTACAGTCCTGCAAAGCCAGTGGTGGAAATTCCACATTCCCAGGACAGGGGCGAGTCTCTTCATAGGAGCAGCTTTCCCCTTCAAAGTGGCGCTTACCTTAAAGCCACGATTCTGACTGTGAAGAGACGGAATTAAATGTTAAATCTACACACAGAGGTGAAACCCCCTCTTCAAGACTACAATAGCACTGGGCCCTCGGCCAAACTGAATCCAGCCCTTCTTGTCAACAGCGTGGGTTGTGAAACGAGAGTCAGCCAGTGCTGGCCTTGACTGGTATCTCACCTCAAATATTGTCCTAGTTCCTCCACCTCCCGCTCCCATCACCCCGAGCGGTCGACGTTCCCATCTAAAACTGCGTGCGCGGGGCTTTTTTTATATTCCTGGCAAATCAGCAAGCACATGTCCCCTTGATGGGAAAGTGTTCAATCCCCACGCCGATGTAAAATCAACATTCACCCCCCCCCCCCACACACACACCCCGTGACCACACACACAAACAAAAACCTACACACAGATCACCCTTTGTACTCGCGGTTCGCTAATCCATAAAACGAAGCGAGCACGGCGCGCGCGCGTGTGTGTGTGCGCGCGCTCGAGAGAGAGCGAGCGAACGAGCGAGCGATCGTGAGTAGGAACCCGAGAGAGAGAGAGAGAGACGCTGCTAAGAGGTGGGGTAAAGCAAAGCGTGAGTCCAGGAGCCATGGCGAGACTTGGTCTGCTGGGTTTGTGTCTCGCGCTCGCTCTTCCGACGTGGACTGGAGCGGGTCCCGTCGACGGGAATGAGGTGCGTGTTGTGCTTTACGCAGTTCGTTGAACCCCTACTTAAAACTATTACGCTATGTTTTTGTTAAATATTTATTTTACCAGGTAAGGTCCCCCGCTGAGCTGCTGCGTCGGTCTCTTTTTGCGGAAGCGACCTTGGCTTTCGCGAATGAGAGCTCATCACGCGCACATTGATAGCAGCAGCCAAATACTCTAAACGCGTGACGTTGATGCTAAATGTGGAGGGGAAAAACCGGATTAATGACTTCGCTCCAGTGGGTTACATTGGTGGTGCAAATGGTTAGCACACCGTGCGCTATGAACCCACCAACCTGGGTTTTAGTCTCGGCCATGGCAAACGTCATTGGCGAGTGATATCCAAAGCAGTCCTCCTGGGTCGATCCCTTCCCCTGTACTTGAACCCGCACACTGATCGGTGTGGTGAAATATGGTCAAAGAGCCCCCCATGACCAACACGAAGCGGAGGGATACGTGTATGTTCATAAGCTGTTATTGGCCACACTCAAGTTGCCTTTGAGCCCGTATCCTTCAGATTTAACTGGAGCCCAACGTTGCAGCCTTTTTTTTTAACTACTTCGATCTTTTCCTGTAGCCCATTGCCAACTCCACATTACTATTGCTGTGTCATCGACAACTGGGGCGCCACGGTGGCTAGGAGATGTTAACTCCCTCGCCTGGTATACAGGAGGTCGTGGGTTCCATCCCGACCCTGACGCCTGCTGTATGTTTAGAGTTTGCGTGTCTCTCTCATCATCACAGTGGCTAGGAGATGTTAACTCCCTCGCCTGGTATACAGGAGGTCGTGGGTTCGATCCCGACCCTGACGCCTGCTGTATGTTAGAGTTTGCGTCTCTCTCTCTCATCATCATCACGGTGGCTAGGAGATGTTAACTACCTCGCCTGGTATACAGGAGGTTCGTGGGTTCGATCCCGACCCTGACGCCTGCTGTATGTTTAGAGTTTGCGTGTCTCTCTCTCATCATCACAGTGGCTAGGAGATGTTAACTACCTCGCCTGGTATACAGGATGTCGTGGGTTCGATCCCGACCCTGACGCCTGCTGTATAGTTGGAGTTTGCGTGTCTCTCTCTCATCATCACAGTGGCTAGGAGATGTTAACTACCTCGCCCGGTATACAGGAGGTCGTGGGTTCGATCCCGACCCTGACGCCTGCTGTATGTTTGGAGTTTGCGTGTCTCTCTCTCTCATCATCATCACAGTGGCTAGGAGATGTTAACTACCTCGCCTGGTATACAGGATGTCGTGGATTCGATCCCGACCCTGACGCCTGCTGTATGTTTGGAGTTTGCGTGTCTCTCTCCCTGTGGTCGAGTGGATTTTTCTTCGGGTTCTCCGGGTTTTCTCTCCACGTTTAGAATCAACGTCAGAGTATTCGGCTGTTATACATTTCCACGTGATGATGAGCCACTTTCATTGAGCTATCGTTTGTGGACCAGGTCGCTTCTGAAAAAAAGAGCCACGTAGCTCAGTGTTCCTCACTTGGTAAAGAAAAGCAGTTGATCATTTTTTTTAATAGTTTAAATCTGACATGGCTCGTACTTTGGCCATTTGATCTTCGTGATGATAAGCCACTTTCGTTGAGCTATCGTTTGTGGACCAGGTCGCTTCTGAAAAAAAGAGCCACGTAGCTCAGTGTTCCTCACTTGGTAAAGAAAAGCAGTTGATCGATTTTTTTGTTTAATAGTTTAAATCTGACATGGCTCGTACTTTGGCCATTTGATCTTCGTGATGATAAGCCACTTTCGTTGAGCTATCGTTTGTGGACCAGGTCGCTTCTGAAAAACAGAGCCACGTAGCTCAGTGTTCCTCACTTGGTAAAGAAAAGCAGTTGATCGATTTTTTGTTTAATAGTTTAAATCTGACATGGCTCGTACTTTGGCCATTTGATCTTCGTGATGATAAGCCACTTTCGTTGAGCTATCGTTTGTGGACCAGGTCGCTTCTGAAAAACAGAGCCACGTAGCTCAGTGTTCCTCACTTGGTAAAGAAAAGCAGTTGATCGATTTTTTTGTTTAATAGTTTAAATCTGACATGGCTCGTACTTTGGCCATTTGATCTTCGTGTCGCTTTTGTTTCTCAACACAAATTTGCAACGAACATTTTCACGCGTCGCTGCCGGTAACTTTGTCGAAACCGTGGCACCGCTTCCCGAGTCACCCTTCACGTGTGTATCTTGCAATTCCATGCCCTTTCTCAGCGTAGCCTCACCATTTTCGTAAACGGTTTTAACGTGTCTTTTTGTTGTTTTTTTTAACATGAAGCATTCAACTTTTTTAAACACCGCGCTGCATGGTGTTCGCCCCTCGCTCCCGAGGAGAGAGAGGGAGAACGACTTAGGAGGCGCGAGAAACCGCAAAGTGGGAAAGGCAGCCAGGCGATAAAACGGTGCCAAAACTGCCCCCCCCCCTCCCCACCCACACCCAAGGTCTGCGGTTCTCTGCGTATTAAGGTGTTATTCCAATTAATGAGTTTTTATACGTGCAGGATGAAAGCTGAGCACCTGGAAAAAAAAAAACCCACGCCTTGCGCGAGGGGTGCAGCACTCTATCCCCATACAGATGGAAACAGTTGGCGATTAGTCCACATGCTGCACGCCGTCGTTTCTAAAGACATTGTACTCACCGCAGAGGACTGTCGCGACACGACCACCGCACTCTATGATAGCGGGCGCCAAACTGTGCCACACGCCCTCCCGCATGGCCTCGTGGGAGCCTCGGTACGCCTTCCGACCTGAAGACGTGCCGATAAAGATATAGGTCTTCTTCTGATTCCGTTCCGATGAGACGTACACGTACGAAACAACTGATGACGTACACGTACCCGCACGTACGTCATCGAAACGGTTCAGGCTTAAGAAACGTTTCCATTCCAACTGCCGCACAGAGGAGCCGAGTCCGTGTGCATTCAGCACAGAGCGGGCGTCCGGCGTTCGCCCGACATTGGTGCCCTCTCTAGACTCCGGGACTTTATTTCAGCCGGTAAGACCCACTGAGCGAAGCAGCTCTCTTTACGCGGACCGATCCTCGCTCACTGCGGTGGTGTGTACGTCCTCGCTCGCAGGGCGCCACGCCGAAGATAACGGAGATGAGCGTCGTGTCGCGGATCACGTCGCGATACGCCCACACCACCATCAACAGCTGGGTGCTCAACACGGCCTCGCACGGCAAGGAGGTCACCTTCCACGTGCAGCTCCCGGAGGCCGCCTTCATCTCCGCCTTCTCAATGTGAACTTTTATTATTTCCGTCGGCGGCGGTCCGCGGAGCGGCGGCAGCGTCGCCAAAGCAACGCGTCGACGTTTTGCCACTGCCGTTGCGCTTGCTTAGACGCGGTGGGGGTGGGGGGGTAGCGTCGCCAAGTCTTCAGTCTCCTTTTTATTATTACACGCTTTCTATTAACTCACTCTGTCGGCTGATGTTGTTATCGTCGTTGTCGTTGTCGTATCCTCAAATCTCGTAACTCAATTTTTACCCACTTCCCAATGTGGTATCGACCGCAAACTTGGTATACTCATGTCATACCGAGCGCCGTAAGAGGCATGGCCGTATTTGAATTGAGCAAGGTGATAAGAACCCGGGGAGGGGAGAAGGCGATGGGTGGAATTCGATAGTGGAGGTGCGCGAGGGAAGAATCAGGAGGAGAAGGCCGTGTGTGGCCTGCTGTGTGGCGGTTGAACTCCGTGGTGTGAACGAGACTCACCAATGCCAATGGGACATGTTAAGATTATGAAGTAAGAAAACACGGACGAAATTCTAGTACTTACCGTCACGCTTCTCGCGTGTTATCGCGGACTGCGCTTTAGCCCTACATTGTACATTATCTATTACAACACGATTTTTCCCATCATGCCGTGCTCGTCCAGAGCGCAACGACCGCCGCCGCTATAGGAGAACACAGACTGTAAGGCCCGCTCGTGTCGGACGATGAGGCGACCCCGTTTTGTGTTCCGCCGTTGCTCAGGACGGTACGGAACAAGACGTACCCCGGCGTGGTGAAGGAGAAGGAGCAGGCCAAACAGGTGTACTCGTCGGCCGTGGCTCAGGGCTGGTCGGCCGGGCTCGTTGCTACCAGGTGAAAGCCTCACAGATGTCATCCCCACGACCCCCCCACCAACTCACTCATCCACCCACCCACCTACTCAATCATCCACCCACCCACCCACTCACCCATCCACCCACCCACCAATGCCTCAATCTGACCCAGGCAATGCACGGTTTCTCATTTTTCTTGATGTACGTCCATACGTATGTTGAACTTCTTTCGTGGCGGGTGTAGTATTGGCTCTTGGTGAGTGGTGTGAGCGTGGTGCTTTGGTCGGGATCGAACCCACGACTTCCTGTATACCGGGCGAGGCAATTAACATCTCGCCACTGTGGCGCCTGATTTTCCACACAGCCGAAACCCGGACTCGACCTCAGCAGTCTCGCTACCATGGCTACGTCCGGAGTTGTCATCCGTTCACCGCAATGGATGGTGAACGGCGGTCAATTCACTCCCCCTCTCTCCCCTCGCCTTGCCCCCACACGCACTGTTTCGCTGTCTCCCTCCTTATCGCTTTGCCCCTCGCAGATGGCATGCGAGGCTGGTGATCATTTGCTGAGCTGTGAGCTTCTGTCCGCTAACCTTATTTGCCCGCTATTCAGGTCAGGTCACGCCGGGATAAATCGACGAGCCCTGCGTTTATGGAATGTATTTTTTCTAGCGGATTTTTTTTTCCTTGGGTGGCACTCTCGTTCTTGTTACGGGTGGAATGATGGCCAAACACACATGCGGGAAACATTGGGCTAGATAGAGTCTATATATGTGTATAGATTGGGCTACATTAATTTATAGTGGTGAATCGGATTGGTTGGTTCATGTGAGATCACAGACACAGTGAGGGAAAAAAGTATTTGATCCCCTGGTGATTTTGTACGTTTGCCCACTGACAAACAAATGATCAGTCTATAATTTTAATGGTAGGTTTATTTGAACAGTGAGAGACAGAATAACAATAAAAAAATCCAGAAAAACGCATATCAAAAATGTTATGAATTGATTTGCATTTTAATGAGGGAAATAAGTATTTGACCCCCTCTCAATCAGAAATATTTCTGGCTCCCAGGTGTCTTTTATACAGGTAACGAGCTGAGATTAGGAGCACACTCTTAAAAGGAGTGCTCCTAATCTCGGATTGTTACCTGTATAAAAGACACCTGTCCACAGAAGCAATCAATCAATCAGATTCCAAACTCTCCACCATGGCCAAGACCAAAGAGCTCTCAAAGGATGTCAGGGACATGATTGTAGACCTACACAAGGCTGGAATGGGCTACAAGACCATTGCCAAGCAGCTTGGTGAGAAGGTGACAACAGTTGGTGCGATTATTCGCAAATGGAAGAAACACAAAATAACTGTCAATCTCCCTCGGCCTGGGGCTCCATGCAAGATCTCACCTCGTGGAGTTGCAATGATCATGAGAACGGTGAGGAATCAGCCCAGAACTCCACGGGACGATCTTGTCAATGATCTCAAGGCAGCTGGGACCATAGTCACCAAGAAAACAATTGGTAACACACTACGCCGTGAAGGACTGAAATCCCGCAGCGCCCGCAAGGTCCCCCTGCTCAAGAAAGCACATATACATACCCGTCTGAAGTTTACCAATGAACATCTGAATGATTCAGAAGACAACTGGGTGAAAGTGTTGTGGTCAGATGAGACCAAAATGGAGCTCTTTGGCATCAACTCAACTCGACGTGTTTGGAGGAGGAGGAATGCTGCCTATGACCCCAAGAACACCATCCCCACCGTCAAACATGGAGGTGGAAACATTATGCTTTGGGGGTGCTTTTCTGCTAAGGGGACAGAACAACTTCACCTCATCAATAGGACGATGGACAGGGCCATGTACCGTCAAATCTTGGGTGAGAACCTCCTTCCCTCAGCCAGAGCATTGAAAATGGGTCGTGGATGGGTATTCCAGCATGACAATGACCCAAAACACACGGCCAAGGCAACAATGGAGTGGCTCAAGAAGAAGCACATTAAGGTCCTGGAGTGGCCTAGCCAGTCTCCAGACCTTAATCCCATAGAAAATCTGTGGAGGGAGCTGAAGGTTCGAGTTGCCAAACGTCAGCCTCGAAACCTTAATGACTTGGAGAAGATCTGCAAAGAGGAGTGGGACAAAATCCCTCCTGAGATGTGTGCAAACCTGGTGGCCAACTACAAGAAACGTCTGACCTCTGTGTTTACCAACAAGGGTTTTGTCACCAAGTACTAAGTCATGTTTTGCAGAGGGGTCAAATACTTATTTCCTTCATTAAAATGCAAATTAATTCATATCATTTTTGACATGCGTTTTCCTGGATTTTGTTGTTGTTATTCTGTCTCTCACTGTTCAAATAAACCTACCATTAAAATTATAGACTGATCATTTCTTTGTCAGTGGGCAAACGTACAAAATCAGCAGGGGATCAAATACTTTTTTCCCTCACTGTATGTAAGAAGCCGAGTCAGGTGACACATGACTTCCTTTATCTTGTCCCCATGATGCGTGGCGCAGTTTAAAACCTTAATTCGTTTCTAAAAGCTAAATGTGGCTTCTGGGGATCGTTCGTCAGTCAACTCAACCCGCGGCGAGCGAGCTGAAAGGATAAAAAATAACAATCGTTAAACGCGTGTACAGTACACCACGTGACAATTTAATTTGTTTGGATGCGTCGGGTGGTGGAGGGTTGTTACAACACACATTTGGTCAGATCGTGACCACGTGGCCGAACCCGAAATTCTATTATGAATCTGAACATTTCGCTGCGAAAATCTGCGCGTTACATCTCAGTGAATCGGCAGCAGCAGACGATACAACGTATAATGACGCAATGCCCGATCCACAAAGATGAAGGAGACATCACAGCGATGCACCACTCTGCTGCTCCTGATGCGGTTATTTGGCTTGACCACCTGAATGTGAAATAGTAGTCGTTGCTCTGCATCTACGTCAGCCGTACGGAAGAAGAAGAAGCAGCAGCAGTACGACAACAACGACGATGACGGCGATAACCAGGGGGCGGAGCCAGGATTTCAGGCCCGGGGTGACATTCAACAAATGTTAATTTCAAGAATGATTAGAGAGTCAGGCTGTTGAACTAGACGCCATCGGTTGGCGACACACTCTGACAATGCAGTTGAACTGAGTCCGCCAGACCGAGTGTCGTACACTTATACGCAGAATGTCACCCCCTGTCACCCCCCCTGGCTCCGCCCCTGACGATAACGATGATGATGTTCGATGATGATGACGATGATGACGATGATGATGACGATGATGACAATGATGACGATGATAATGACGATGATGACAATGATGATGACAATGATAATGATGATGACAATGATGATGACAATGATGATGACGATGAAGATGACGAAGATGACGACGATGATTTGACCCCCGTGCCCCCGCGTGCAGAGAAAGGGAAACAGACAAGTTCATGGTGAGCGTGAACGTGGGTGCTGGAAGTCGTGCGCTCTTCACCCTCAGCTATGAGGAGCTCCTGCAGCGGAAGCTGGCATGGTGAGCGAGCGCCGTGGCCAGCACGGTGACACACGGCACCGATTCACCACGACGCTCACCACAACAGGAGCACATGCCACCAACTCGCCACGACGCTCACCACACCAGGATTAGACGCCACCGCATCACCAACTCACCACGATGCTCACCAGAACTTTAGCACATGCCACCACGCAACTTACCACGACACTCGCCAGTACATCACCATATGCCTCCACCTCACCAACTCAACCACGACGCTCACCTGCGCAACTTTCACTCACCAGAACACGAACCAGAAGGCAGCGGCACCTCACCAAAACCGCCACTGTAACATCAACAACCCACCGCCCGTGTTGCCAACTCACCACTCGACCCCAACTCACCACGGGCAACACCACTTACTACTTGTAAATTAGTGAGTGGTGTTGCCCGTGGTGAGTTGGGGTCGAGTGGTGAGTTGTAAATTGTTTTCCCGCCCACCCCCCCCCCCCCCCAATACTCGCCAACCGTACTGATTTGAGCCGTTGACTTTTCCGATTCGGTCCCCGCATGCCGGTTTTCAAGCCGGAAATTTTACCGGTGCAAACAAATTACGGAAGATCACAGAGCGGAGAGTGATTCGCTTTGGAAATTTGGTAGGGTTAAATGCTCGGCAGCCTACCGCACGAATGCACGTGTGATGGACATCTTTCGCACCGTACGTATTCAACCGTGCTATTCGGAGGTGCGGGGGAAGGACATAAAACTAGACACATAAAGCAATTTAGATGATTTAAAAGTGCGTAGCTCCAGTGGCTTCATAATATCAGATGGGAAGAGCATTCCAGACGGCTGCAGAAGCTGGCGGTGTGGTGACCGTCTTTGTTCGATGGCGAGCCAAAATCCGCTGCTGCGAGGATGACCGGAGTTTGATGTTTCACGCTCCTTGACGACATCAGCAAGGGCTAATCTCCTTGTGGCTCAGGGTTTGGCAGCCTTACCTCCTTCACCATCGCCTAACTCCCACTGCTCACCATCACCCCAACACCACAGTGAGCCACACCGCACAACCGCCAAGTCAATCACGGACCACCAAACCAAGGCTCGATTACTCTGCGACGCCATTCACGGGCAAGGCCTCACGGCGCTCTACAGAGAAGAGCCAAACCGTGAACGACCCCTTACAATATATTGGCGAATAAAACTAAAAAGGATAAAAAAAAACGATGCAGAAGGCACGGGGCCTCCACGGACGGGTGGTACACGCCAGCTAGAAGAGATACGTTCTAAAACGGGGGCCCGAAAGACTCCACCGACCGGGAGTCCCTGGTGATGTCCTGGGGAAGAGCATTGCCCCACAGACGAGACTCCTGGCTGCTACCGAAGGCTCTGTTGCCCACTGACTGCAGGTTTTAAAATAAAACTATTAAACAATGTTTTACTTCGCCAAGTAAGGATAACTGAGCTACGTAGCTCTATTTCGGAAGCAACCTGGCCAAAATTGTTCACACAACGAAGCGGCTTGTCGCGTGGCAATGCACAGCAGCCACATACTTTTAACGCATGTGGAGGGAAAAACCGGATGGCCCAGAGAAAATTCCACACGACCACGAGAAGAACATGCAAACTCGCAATATACAGCAGGTGTCAGGGTCGGGATTGAACCCACGGCCTCCTGTATACCAGGCGAGGTAGTTAACATCACGTCACCGCGGCACCCCTAGTCCTCGGCACTCACAGCAGGCGACCGGATTCTCGGCTAGACCCGAACTCGCCGACTGCGCGGTAATAAAAGGCGGACCGTCGGCCCTCCAGGTATGAGCACGTGGTGAGCGTGCGTCCTCAGCAGACAGTGGACAACCTCACGGTGGAGGTGTCGATCGAGGAGAAGGCTGGGCTGTCCCGGATCACCGTGCCTCCTCTCCGCACCAGCAACCTCATCACCAATGACGTCGGCGGTGAGTGCGGTCGTTGAGGAAGGCCTCCCTCCCTCCCCCGCGGGCACCCCAACACGACCTCGGCACCGTCGTTGTCGTCAGCACGGTCGGGCGCGTGCCCTGGGTTGCAAGAGGAGTGAAGCTGAAACTGTTGCCACCGACTGGACGTTCTTGCCAGCGCCTTAAGCGGTGGAAGCCACCAACTCGGGTCGGGTCGCCCCTTGCAAGAGAGGCGGCGCTTCGTGTGTCTTGTCACTGGGTTTCATTCCATCTGCTGGTTAAATTCGATTCCGTTTTTGCGCACGATGGCACTGAACGCGGCTCAGGAGCTAAATGCCGATTTCGAGGTCTGCTTGGCCACGAAAAGAGGGCTTCAGGAGAGAGAGAGAGAGAGTTCGTGTCGTTTTGCTGTTCCTCCATTTAAGGAGCATGGTGAACCCACACACAGTAAACCCACACACAGTAAACCCACACACAGTAAACCCACACACAGTAAACCCACACACAGTAAGCCCACACACAGTAAACCCACAGTGTGTTTACTCTGTGGCTCATAGCTTGGGTTGCATGACCACAGTCTCACGACCATGTGGCTTGTCTTAAATTTTACACGTGTGACGGAAACGAGCGCATACACCTCTTAACCTTCTGATGCGGTGGGTGGTTCCGGCAGTGTTTGCGAGTGCGGCGCTCCATCACACGGGAATGGGCTTGGCGCAGGCCACGTTACTTATAAGGGACGAACGGCCGATGGTCCAGAATAACGTACGCTGTGGAGATGGAGCGGATGGTATCAGCTCATGTGCAGCAGGAGCTGGTTGGATTGTTGCATCCTGGAATCTTGAGAGAGAGCAGCGGCTTGAGGAGGCCTTCGTCCAGTTGTAGATAATTGCTTGATTATGATGATCAGGATTTTGTTGAAATGGAGGCCTAATAATGATGGAACCTCCTTAGATGTGCAGATAGTGGTGTAAGGTGTTGTTTGATGTCACGCTCCATACATCTGGATCGCAACCCCCTTCAGATCTCACGTTGGACATCCTGCATCAAGTGCCCATGTCTCGTAACTTAAGGAGCTACCAAACGTCCTGGTTTTGGACTGATAAACCTGTTTTATTTTTTAAGACTGTCCTGGTGCCCAGAAACGTTTGCAAAAAGAAAAAACATGATTTTCTCCCAGATTATCATTGGGTCTAATGACTCGTTTTCAGGAGGGTCCTGATGATGACGAAGACGAAGGTGATGATGAAGACGATGACGATAATTAATCCACATGGTGTTGTGATTACCCCTCTGCAGTTGACGCGGACCCTCCGCCTGCCACCTCCATCGTGCGCACGGCAACCTCTGTGGTCGTGCGGTTTCAGCCGAGCGTGGAGCAGCAGCTGGCATTGGCGAAGGATGGAGTCCTCGGGGATTTCATCGTCCGCTACGACGTGGAGCGAGCGGAGGAGGCCGGGCAACTGGAGGTGGGGACGTGGGCCCGAGAGAGAGAGAGAGAGAGAACAACCCAGCCGATAATAATAATCGCAACACGACCACAAACCACGAAGGGAATCGCCGCTTGCGGACCTCGAATCGCCACCCACTTGTTGTCAAACTCGAACCGCTCACCACCCGCGGATCATGGGCCATCAATAACGATAAACTCACAGTCAAACTTGAACTACTCACCAATCACTACGAAAGATTCACGAAACGCCCACTAATCATTGGCCAAGAATCACGAACCACTCGCCAATCACCGATCAGATGCGATGCACCATTTTCCAATCACAGGTTACGCATTCACGCACCGCTCACAAATCGGCAACCACGGGCCATGAACTGCTTAACGCCTGACCACCCCACACCCCAGCAGGGGGTTCCGCGGTCCACCGACACGTGTTGCCAAAGTGCCGGATCAGCTTGCGCCTGAGTCCGTCGCCCCGGAACCGTGTGTGTCCTGCACGTGGTGAATGTGCCACTTGCTGTGTCCCTGCGTTTCAGATAGTGAACGGCTACTTCGCGCACTTCTTTGCGCCAAAACATCTGAGCGCTTTGCCGAAGAGCATCGTGTTTGTGATAGACGTGAGCGGGTCGATGGATGGGACCAAGATTAAGCAGGTGAGACGCCGAGACAGCATGGGACAAGGGATACCTGATGGAGGATGTCCAGTGTAACACTTAAAGCGAAAATGTGATGTATTTTTCCCTAATTGTAGCCTAACTGTGCTCTCCGTGTTAATGCCATGAAAGGAATAGCCCGTTTAGATGTCTCGTGGAGCAGCGAAGCACTTTGTGTCAGAGAACGGCTCGTGAAAGCGGATATCACAGAGCTACGTCTGAGATTCCGTCAAGTGATTTGGTCCATACGATAGGAGACAGACCTTTCTCGCTGGCCCTGCCACAAAGAGTGCTTCGAGGTGTTGGTGAATGGCAGTAGAGCAACGGGTGTGGGCCACAGATTTTGCTAACTCACTGGTTTGAGTCAGGTTGTGAATTAAATCCGTATGTTGAGTGTTATCCCCTCGTGTGTGTGACGGGCTTTCTCTGGGTCCTCCCGGCTTCCACCCCCATAAAGCCAAACTCTAATTGTACGTATGTATGTTGAACTTCTTTCGCATCGTTCGTAGCGAACCGTGCGAATGGCAGGTGCAGGCAAGGGCATCAAAACTAAATGCAAAAATCCGTTCTAAAGAAATACGTTTTCAATCGAGATTCAAAAGTGTATAGCTCCAGTAGCATCCTAACATCGGAAGGAAGAGCGTTCCAGACGGCCGCAGAAGCGCATCTGAAAGCGTGCAGCCAAAAGCCGCTACGAGGATGACCGGATTCCACGTGATGGTTTATGCTCCTTGATGAAATCAGCAAGGTATTGTGGTTCATTCGTGATGAGCAGATTTGCGTGTAATGAGTGAGACCTTTTAAACGTATTTGTTCCTCAACCGGAAGCCAATGCAAAACCGGAAGCCAATCGTTCATGGCACATCACTAATCATTGTTGTCATTTAGACAAAGGAAGCGATGCTGAAAATCCTGGGCGACCTGAGACCAAAGGACCACTTTAACATCGTGACCTTCTCCTACGGCGTGAATAAATGGGCCAATCGAGGCCTGGTCAAGGCTTCAGCTGAAAGCATCGAGGGCGCCAAGAAATTTGTTTCTACCATGGTGGCAGACGGAGGTGAGGGACCAGGCACTGTTTTTAGATCAGCCACCATGACACTCGGTTCCCCTCGGGGGTGGGGAGGGGAAGGAGTCACAGGAGCCTCTCTATTGATAACTAACGGGCTCATCGAGGCGTTGTGGCCGTGACACATCTTCTGCCGTGGTAGGCTGGCGCAATCAAAGACAGGGACAAAGATACCCCGTGTAGCCTTAAGAGACTGTTGGGGCAAGTGCTGTTAGCGAGTAGCACCTGTGAAGGCCGGAATCGGTACACGAGGGAGTGGGTGGCCAGCACCACGCTCGTCCGCCTCTGTCTCCCCCAGTGGTGATGTTAACTACACACCGCACCGGGTACTCAAATCGACCTAGGGGAGGTCCAGGATTGGTTCAAATTTTCGTTACCGGCGTTGGCCATGAGCGGGAATCGAACTCGGGTCGCCTGGTTCGTTGCGCGGCGTAGCGCTGACCGCTACTCCAGCACCGCTCCCCGCATCAGACACAACCAGACACACGGCGGGCTGCTCGGGGCGGGGGAGGGCTCTGTGTCTCCTGTCTGTCTCCTCTCCCGTGTGTCCCCCGTCCCTCCATCTCGTGCGTCTCTGTCCTGCGTCTGCTGTCTGCCTGCCTTCAATCTGCCTCGCGTGTGCGCTTGCCTCTCCCGTCCGCCTTGCCTCCCCGTCCATCCGCCTCCTTGGCGTCTTACCTTTGTGCACTTGTCTGCTGCGCGCGACCCCACGCACGACCCCCCCCCCCCCCCCACAGGGACAAACATAAAGGATGCCTTGTCCGAGGCCGTGAGCCTCCTCAAATACCAGGAGGTGAGCAAGGAAACGAGCGTCCCCCTCATTATCCTGCTCACGGACGGGCAGCCGACGGTGGGCGAGACCAAATTGGAGGTCATCATCGAGAGCGCACGCTCGGACATCGCCGGCCTCTACAGCCTCTACTGCCTGGGCTTCGGCCAGGACGTCGAGTTCAACTTCCTGGAGAAGCTCGCGCTGCCCAACTCGGGCTTCGCGCGAAAGATCTTCGTGGACGTGGACGCGACGCTGCAGCTCAAGGGCTTCTACGACGAGGTGGGCACGCCGCTGCTGTCCAAGGTCGTCGTCAAGTACACCGGCAACGAGGTGGCGGCACTCACGCAGAGCACCTTCTCCAACTACTTCAGCGGCTCGGAGATCGTGGTGGCGGGGCGCGTGCGGGGCGACACGGGCAGCCTCGTCGCGACCGTCGAGGGGCAGAGCGAGAGCGGCGCCACCTCGCTCGCCGTGGAGTGCGTCGTGCCGCCTTGGCCGCGGCCGTTCCCGCCGCGGCCGTACCCGCCGGCCCCCGGGCCCCCCGAGCCTCCCAGCCACACGGAGCGGCTGTGGGCTTTCCTGACCATCAAGCAGCTGCTCAAGGAAAAGGTGTCGGCGACCGACGATGCAACGAAGGGGCGTCTCGACAACGAGACGCTCGCGCTGTCGCTGCGCTACGGGTTCGTGACGCCGCTCACGTCGATGGTGGTGACCGTGCCCGACGACGGTGAGCAGGAGGAGGGAGGCGATGAACCCAAGCCGAAAAAGTCCCTCGAAGTCGAGGCCAAAGGCAGGTGTGACCCAACCGAGCACCAACACGGCATTGTTTGCTGGCAGCAGCGTGGCTCCGTTTGTAGTGGCCGCGCTGGCGTGGCAAGAGACCTGGGTTCAACTCGCGACTCGGGGCGCATGTCTTGCCTGGCGTTCGTATGTTCTCCAACTATTTTATAACCTTAACCAAGTTTTTTTTTATTTTACCAGCTATACAGTTCCTTTTGAGAAGCGACCTGGCCACAAATGATAGCTCAACAAATCGCCTCATCACGTGCAAGTGTATAGCAGCTAAATACTCTTAAACGCGTGATGTTGATTCTAAATGTGGAGCGAAAAACCGGAAGACCCGGACGACAATCCACAGCAGGTGTCAGAGTCCGGCTCGAACCCACAGCCTCCCGCATACCCGGCGAGGTAGTTAACATCTCGCCACCGTGGCGCCCCATGGGTGTCTTCCGGGTTTTTCCGATTACCTTCCAGGACCCTCTTGACAAAAGAACCTTGAGACTCGGTGAGGCTTTCCTGGGTAAACGAGCACAATCGTTAATTACCTACCTGATAGCTTAGTCGAGAGTAATTCCACGCCTGGTCACGGGGGGCTGTCGTTAAAGCGAGAGCCGGGGAAGTGCCACCCTCGCAACGTGCCGCCCCCCCCCCCCCCCCCCTGCGATTCCGTCTGCAGGCACCGCCGATGATGTGGTCGATCACCCCGGCTTCCCGGTCCGCGACGCCAAGGTGCTCTTAACAGGTGCCTCACCGCCGGCCGCGACGCAATCCTTGGCGCGGCTCGCGCGTGCACGAACCCCGGCCCACCGCGTCGCGGCTCGCTGTGCCCACCGCTCGCGGGTCCCCGACGTTTGCACCACCGACTCCGCATCCGATTGTCATCTCTCCCGGCGTGGGGGTGGGGGGGGGGGGAGACAAAATGAGAAGCACGTTGCGGAAACATCGGCAGTCGGCATCCTACGGAGGGACAGCAAAAATTGGCCGTGGCAATGCGTAAGTCCGACAACCGGCTGAGTTTAACCGTGCGGAGTACCCGCCGGGGAGGTGGGTGGCGGGGTTGGGTGACAGGACACAAGGCAGCTTCGCTCGACGGCCCAGCTTTGGTGTCTTTGTGTTTTGGCGGTGGCGCACATGGCCTCTAATCCGGCACCGTGGAGGAAGTGACGGTTGGTGGATCGCACAAGCGCTGTGAAGCGACCTTGCCGCGGGCGTCAAAGGAGGTGCCGTACCGTGGGTCGCCATGAGGATGCGGCACGGAAAATGTGAAACCCAACCTGTTCCGTCCGCACGGGATAGAGTGTTGCCCCCTTGCACGTGTGGGTTTTCTCTGGGTGTTCCGGCTTCCTCCCACATGGAAACTCCCACGTGGACTAATCGGCTGATAACACCTTCACATATAGAGGACCACACAAACATAGACAAATATAACACGAAACCATCCCACCCTACCAGGAAAAGCCCACTGAGGTCTTAATTTATTTTTCAGACGCGACCTGGCCACATATGATAGCTCAGCAAAGTGGCTTTTCACCTGGAAATATATAGCGGCAAAATAATCTAAATAACGTTGATGCACGTTGTTAAACGTGGAGCGAAAAAAACCGGAGGGCCTGAAGATAAAATCCATGCTACCACGGGGAGAGAGAGAGACACGCAAACTCCACATATACAGCAGCAGCAGGCGTCAGGGTTGGGATGAAACCCACGACCTCCTGTAAACCAGGCGAAGTAGTTAACATCTCCTAGCCACCCTGGTGATGATTAGAGAGAGAGAGACACGCACACTGTAAACATACAGCAGGCGTCAGGGTCGGGATCAAACCCACGACCTCCTGTATACCAGGCGAGGTAGTTAACATCACACCACCGCTATTACAGTCTCATCATCACCACCACCATCACATGTGTGTAGGCTTGGAGGAGGGAGAGTTACCGAGACGGGCATAGGAGTGGCAACCAGAGACTGACGACCAAAGGGGAAGAGAAGAGATGAGGTGAGGCGGTGTTGGTGGTGGTGATGATGATGACGGTGCTGTAATAGCGGTTCCTCTGGATGTCATCTCGGGTCTCAAGAACGCAACAACTCTGGGGATCGAGCAGAAGGGAGCGATGATCGGTGTCAGGTTCAGCATCCCTCCCAATTTGCCGTGTGTGTTCCCCCCCCCCCCCCCCTCCCGGCTTTCAATGCACCGTGTGGTTTCGTCAGCTAGAGGAGGATCGAGTCAACACGTCGGCAGGCTTAGCAGCAGGTACATCGGCAGCAGTCAGCCACAAGTGAATTTTCGACCAACGATGCACAAGGGCGGCTACGGCAGCTCCGGGCAGAGGGGCCTACCTGGTCCTCAAAGCTTTTCATTACTTGGAAGTGCTGCTTCTCATCCAATGTTGTCTCCACTTCCAGCCTTCGACACGGTCGATGGTAACGATCACGCTCAGAAACTGACGCTACACACACACACTGGCTGTACACACGCACAGACGCTGGCTGTACACACAAACATACATTGGTTTACACACACACACTGGCTTACACACACACGCACTGGCTGTACACACACAGGCACCTGCTGTACACATACACACTTGTTGTACACACAAACCCTAACTCTACCCTGTCTGCATCCAACAACATCGCTTTCCCTGTCACTCACCCACACACCCCGACACACTCACCCACACACCCTGACACACTCACCCACACACCCCGACACACTCACCCACACACCCCGACACACTCACCCACACACCCCGACACACCCACACACCCCGACACACTCACCCACACACCCCGACACACTCACCCACACACCCCGACACATTCACCCACACACCCCGACACACTCACCCACACACCCCGACACACTCACCCACACACCCCGACACACTCACCCACACACCCCGACTCATTCACCCACACACCCCGACTCATTCACCCACACACCCCGACACATTCACCCACACACCCCGACACACTCACCCACACACCCCGACACACTCACCCACACACCCACACACCCCGACACATTCACCCACACACCCCGACACACTCACCCACACACCCCGACACATTCACCCACACACCCCGACACACTCACCCACACACCCCGACCCACTCACCCACACACCCTGACCCACTCACCCACACACACTGACACACTCACCCACACACCCTGACACACTCACCCACACACCCCGACACACTCACCCACACACCCCGACCCACTCACCCACACACCCTGACCCACTCACCCACACACCCCGACACACTCACCCACACACCCCGACCCACTCACCCACACACCCTGACCCACTCACCCACACACCCCGACACACTCACCCACACACCCTGACCCACTCACCCACACACCCTGACACACTCACCCACACACCCCGACACACTCACCCACACACCCCGACCCACTCACCCACACACCCTGACCCACTCACCCACACACCCCGACACACTCACCCACACAGCCTGACCCACTCACCCACACACCCCGACACACTCACCCACACACCCTGACCCACTCACCCACACACCCCGACACACTCACCCACACACCCCGACCCACTCACCCACACACCCTGACTCACTCACCCACACACCCCGACACATTCACCCACACACCCTGACACACTCACCCACACACCCCGACACACTCACCCACACACCACGACTTATTCACCCACACACCTCGACCCATTCACCCCCTGATCTAGAGAGAGACAGAGTGGAGTCTGTACGTTCTCCCCCTGATCTAGAGAGAGAGTGGAGTCTGTACGTTCTCCCTCTGATCTAGAGAGTGGAGTCTGTACGTTCTCCCCCTGATCTAGAGTGAGAGTGGAGTCTGTACGTCCTCCCCCTGATCTAGAGAGTGGAGTCTGTACGTTCTCCCTCTGATCTAGAGAGTGGAGTCTGTACGTTCTCTCCCTGGTCTGCACGAGTTTCCTCACCTTTCTACGATTTCCTCTCATAACTAAAGAATAACAACACCACCCCCAACCAATGTCACTGATTTTGGCCACAGCTTCCCGTCGCTGCACAGATTACCTGCAAATGACTCCATGGTGAAAGCGTGGCAGGACCCTCTTGAAAATAATCGTTGAAGCTCAATGAGGCTTCTCTGTGTAAATAAACAAGTAATAATACTCACTGGCTGGCTCGTACTGGGCCATCGTCGACTCAAAATGGGGGGTCGGGGGGGGGGGAATGATTGAGGATTGGGGAGGCTCACAACCTGTTGTGTTTCTGTTACTTGCAGACACGTTTGATGACGTGCACGAGATGCAAGGTGATGACAACACCACTCACACTACACTCACCACTCACAATCACCACTCACACTACACTCACCACACACACTCACCACTCACACTACACTCACCACTCACACTACACTCACCACTCACAATCACCACTCACACTACACTCACCACTCACACTACACTCACACTACACTCACCACTCACACTACACACACTACACTTACCACTCACACTACACTCACCACTCACACTACACACACTACACTTACCACTCACACTACACTCACCACTCACACTACACTCACCACTCACACTACACACACTACACTTACCACTCACACTACACTCACCACTCACACTACACACACTACACTCACCACTCACACTACACTCACCACTCACACTACACTCACCACTCACAATCACCACTCACACTACACTCACCACTCACACTCACCACTCACACTACACTCACCACTCACAATCCCCACTCACCACTCACACTCACCACTCACACTACACTCACCACTCACACTACACTCACACTACACTCACCACTCACACTACACTCACCACTCACACTCACCACTCACACTACACTCACCACTCACACTACACTCACCACTCACACTACACTCACCACTCACACCACACTCACACTGCACTCACCACTCACACTACACTGACCACTCACCACTCACACTACACTCACCACTCACACTACACTCACCACTCACACTACACTCACCACTCACACTACACTCACACTACACTCACCACTCACTACACTCACACTACACTCACCACTCACACTACACTACACTCACCACTCACACTACACTCACACTGCACTCACCACTCACACTACACTCACCACTCACACTACACTCACCACTCACACTACACTCACTACTCACACTACACTCACCACTCACACTACACTGACCACTCACACTACACTCACCACTCACACTACACTCACCACTCACACTCACCACTCACACTACACTCACACTACATTCACCACTCAAACTACACTGACCACTCACCACTCACACTACACTCACCACTCACACTACACTCACACTACACTCACCACTCACACTACACTCACACTACACTCACCACTCACACTCACCACTCACACTACACTGACCACTCACACTACACTCACCACTCACACTCACACTACACTCACCACTCACACTACACTCACCACACACACTACACTCACCACACACACTACACTCACCACTCACACTCACCACTCACACTACACTCACCACTCACACTACACTCACCACTCACACTACACTCACCACACACACTACACTCACCACACACACTACACTCACCACTCACACTCACCACTCACACTACACTCACCACTCACACTACACTCACCACTCACACTACACTCACCACTCACACTACACTCACCACTCACACTACACTCACCACTCACACTACACTCACCACACACTGTTTCAACAAACCACACGTGGTTATTTGGTAAATTTTAACAAATGTTCAGACTAAAATAACTTAAAGACTAAGCAATTATTATGTTTTAATGCAACCGTTTAGCTAAATAAAAAACACGCTGTGCATCTTGACTTGTGGACGAACCTGTGGCAGTGTACTCAGCGGTAGATATCTGACTTAAATGTTCTTGTTTCTTTTCAGTGTTGATGAAATAACCACCCTAACAGGTGCTCACTCACAGCACTTGTCCCAAAAGTCGGTCAAGGCTGTACGGGGGATCTTTGTCTTTGTGTGTGTACAGCCACCATGGTTCCCAGCTTCGACAGCTTTCACAGAGGCCTCATCAAACCAGGTAGGGCGCCGCGGTGTCTAGGAGATGTTAACTACCTCGCCAGGTGCACAGGAGGTCGTGGGTTCGATCCCGACCCTGACTGTCTGTCATCATCATCAAGGTGGCTAGGAGATGTTAACTACCTCGCCTGGTGCACAGGAGGTCGTGGGTTCGATCCCGACCCTGACTGTCTGTCATCATCATCAAAGTGGCTAGGAGATGTTAACTACCTCGCCTGGTGCACAGGAGGTCGTGGGTTCGATCCCGACCCTGACTGTCTGTCATCATCAAGGTGGCTAGATGTTAACTACCTCGCCTGGTGCACAGGAGGTCGTGGGTTCGATCCCGACCCTGACTGTCTGTCATCATCATCAAGGTGGCTAGGAGATGTTAACTACTTCGCCTGGTGCACAGGAGGTCGTGGGTTTGATTCCAACCCTGACGTCTGCTGTATATTTGGGAGTTTGTTGTGTCTCTCTCCCCGTGGTCGCGTGGATTTTTCTCCGGGTCCTCCGGTTTTTCCCTCCACATTTAAAATCAACATCATCACGCGTTTAGAGTATGGGGCCGTCCATAAATGACGTCACACAATTTTGGACGATTTCTGACCCCCCCTCCCTCGTCACACGGCGTCACATAAAGTCAGACCCCCCCCCCCCCTCAAATATGACGTCACAACGCTCTGCCCCTCCCCCCCCAAAAACATATTTCCATTTTGAAAATAAAACGTGCTTCAAATCGCGTTAAACTATTGTCATTGCAGTGCGTATTTAATGTGGCGCTGCACTGATGTTGTAGGAGTGTTATAACAATTAGCGTTGTTAAAACAATTATATATTTATTAAAGGTTGCGCATGTTGATGTGACGTCACATTTCTCAAATCACCCTTCCTCGTCACACATCGTCACAAATGTCTGACCCCCCCCCCACCCCCCCAGGTGCGTGACGTCATTTATGGACGGCCCCCTATTTGGCTGCTAAAAATTCCCACGTGATGATGATAAGCCATTTCGTTGAGCGATCATTTGTGGCGAGGTCGCTTCTGAAAAAGAGCCACGCAGCTCAGTGGGGGGGGCCTTACGTTGGTAAAATTGAAAAGTTGAATAAAAATAGGTAACTCCGGCTTTCCACGGCCTAGCGATGCTGCGGTAGATAAACTAGAGGCTCAGCCCTGCAATTGCTTGATCACGCCTTCGCTATGGTGGGTGGGTGGGAGGGGGGGTCCCCTCTTACCCACCCCTCCACCTCCTCGCTGGCCGGACGCCTTTGGTGTGGTGCGAAACATCGGGGGACGCTCGCAGCCAAGCGTAACCGGGAGAATAAAAAACCGCTACGCGGGCTGTCTTGGCAAAAAATGACATTTCAGAAACCTCGCTATGAAGCGTAAACTATGATGATGGGGGTAAAAAAAAGAAGAGAGGAATGGCTTTAACCCTTTTGGGCAATAAATAGAGCTGTCCAAGTGTCCAAACGCAAAAAAATAAGACTCCTCTTACAAAGGCATCAAGTTTGCAAACAACAAAAAGCCCACACGTACTTGCGTTAAACAGCATGCAAAAATAAACCACATGCGTTGTCGATGTCTGCATTGCACTTCCAACATCCCAGCGCCCGTATTTATTTCCAGAAAGGCTAAAAGCCTTTGTCCTCTTCATTGGTATCGCCTTGATGCTGGCAAAAAACGGGTCCCACCACATACGCGAGCCAAAAACTAGGCCAAGCCATGCCCAGTAGGAGTCACTGTGTGTTCGTGGCACGGCCATGCGTCCCCCTCGTTGCCTTAACCCTGCCGCCCCCCCGCCCTCTCCCCGTGCCACGCAGAACGTCCTCCCACGGTTCTCCACCTTCCGAGCAAAAACATCACGCTCTGCTTCTCATCGCACGGCTCGGACAGAAAGACGATCGTGCTCTTGGAGGATCCCCAGTCAGGTGACACGGTCATGAATAAGATGAATACTAACAACAGTTGGTACGGCAACGATATGTATTGCTACACTTGATTTTTATTTTAACATCTGCTGAAAAATCGACGACACATTGAATACGCTTATTTAACGTACCGTCAATTTGGTTTAATATGTTGTCGATGTTTGAACAAGTGTGTGTGTGTTAAATTTCGATTTAAAGCTTTCGTGACTGCAGGGATTCACATTCTTGGTTCTATTCGGTAAAGTCACCACGTAGAAGGGGAAATAATAAAATAATAAAAATAAAACAATAAAATTCTTTACGACGTTTCGATTGCAACACAAGCAAATCATCATCATCATCGGGTGTGAAAACCACAGCGAGAACGAATCGGAACACAGCAACAAACATCATTGCCATAGGTTGGTATTGGCGCTGGTCAACCTTACGGTGCAGAGCTCCCACCACGAGCCGTGTGTCGCACACACGGCCCCTCGACTCGCAATCACAACGTTTATACGGCAGGAGGAATCCGAGGAGCTATGAAGCTTGTTTTCTCACAGACGGGGTAAGAACGTTACGGCAACAGTTACAAAACAACAAACGGAACAGTAGACCAAAGCGCAGGAAAAAAGCAAAACAAATCACCGTGAACACAGCAACAAACATCATTGCCATAGGTTGGTATTGGCGCTGGTCAACCTTACGGTGCAGAGCTCCCACCACGAGCCGTGTGTCGCACACACGGCCCCTCGACTCGCAATCACAACGTTTATACGGCAGGAGGAATCCGAGGAGCTATGAAGCTTGTTTTCTCACAGACGGGCTAAGAACGTTACGGCAACAGTTACAAAACAACAAACGGAACAGTAGACCAAAGCGCAGGAAAAAGCAAAACAAATCACCTTGAACACGCGCGTACACATTGTTAGCACGGCCGGCTACGTACGCCGGCGAAGAAGTCCGAAGAAGTCCAACGTACGTACACACGCGCTGCACAGTTGGGTGATTAGCGGGGTCACGTTTGGAACGGGCTGCCCGATTGGGACGAGGGCAGGGGAAAGCTTTGAATACTCTTTGGTTCTTTCGGTAAAGTCACGTAGGTAGAAATAAAATAAAACAAATCGCGACGTCTCGATCGCAACACAAGCGTCCGTCATCAGGTGGGACAACCACAGCAGGAAAATGCTGATGTAGGCGGGAGAGCTGCCGTGGCAAGAGGTTATATAGGTGAGAAAGGGGGGAGGAGCAAGGGGGGAGAGAGAGAGGGGGGGAGTATGGGGAGGGCCGCGTGAGCGCAAGGGGAAGAGGACGTGAGGCTGGGGGGGTGGGGAAGTGGGCGGGGCTAGAAGTGGAAAGCTCAGTGTGGACACGGGGGGGAAAACATTCCTTGTCCCTCTTTTAACGTCCACGGAAGTCAGGCGGCGGGATAGAGCGTTGCCCCATCGCGCACGCGTGGTGCGCTGGTCTCCTGTTGCGTGTGAAGTGACGCCGGCACGTGTAATTATTTACGTTGCCTCTATTTCGGACACAGCGCTGTCTCGGCCCGGGCTTGTTCTTGTGGCTTGGACTTCCGTCTCCTCTCGAACGTCCACGCTCCTCGAGCCTCTCTCGAACATTCCTTGCCCCTGTTTTTCCCCTTAGCCAATCCCTGTCCTCCTTTCAAAAACGGATCTCCTCTCTTCCCACCAACCCCTTTCCCTCCAACCTCTTCAAAGCCTACTTCCCGACCAATCCCTGCGGAGGCCTCTTTCGGTCAATCGGGAGACCTTGGTTTTTATTTTCGAAATAGCCGCCAGGCTGCTCGTTGGCATGGGGTCATTTTCGGACATTCCGCACGTATAAACACCCACCCTTCACCATTTCCCGTTTCCGAGACGGTCTGCGAGTCGCCGGGTGCTGGGTGTCCCGTTTCCCGCGAGCGGCTCGGCGTTTGTTTTCTTTGGGGGGGGGGGGGGGGGGCGTCGCGCCAGCGCCGCTGTTTTTAAAGAGGTCGTTGCTCACCGCAGAGAACTGTAGCGACACGATCGCCGCCATACCAACGATAGCCGGTGGCAAACCTGTGCCGCGCGCCCTCCCCCGTTGCCTTTTACTTCCCGAGAAATGACCGAATGAAATGCACGCAATCATTAATGTGTCAACAACATCATTCTTCAGTCATCCTCAAACAATCATCAGAATTATTGTAATCAATTAAACTCTATCATTATCCTATTATATTTAACGACTGGTATCTGTCATCCCAATGGTGGATCGTAAATACATCCAGCAATCATCGCTACCTAGAGCCATCATTATCTAAATGTCATCGACATCAACATCTTTATCATTACCACCAAACCATCAATCAATGGCTTTCATCAGGTTGACACACTTATCTCGGCCTCGCTGTGCGCTGCGTTGCACCACTATCCGAGTAGTTAACCTCGCATTCAATAAACCTTCAGAGCCAGGGTGAACATGCGACTCCAAACGTATTTGATGAATTGAACGAGGTAAAACTGATGGAAAAAACACAGCACAAATACAGCATCTGTTAATACTTGGAAATATCAATACAATGAATGAACACTACAGCATCATAACATTGTCTTAGATAACATGAAACTCAACAATAGACCCTGGATGGACCAGGCACCCACATTAGTACTGAACAGCTATACAAGAGAGTAAGCTACTGTGTTAAGTAAGGGCACATCATGTAATCACCATACTGCAGCCGAAATGTACAGCACCACACATAACACTGAACTGTGGATGAGATATTTCGTCATCCTTGCTCTCAAGATCACAATGAGGTTACATGGGTACAAGTCTGACTCGACTTATTAAATTACAAGTAATATTCACAATAAGGCACGTGGCAGGCTTCGTTGTTAACTAGGCCTCATATTTATCATAACAATTAAACAGCATTATAAAGGCATTTACATCATTATAACGGCCATTCTAACATTATAATAGCATTCCCAGCATTATAAGAACATAAACGAACTTACAGACAATGCTTCTTAAAGTCCCACAATGAACAGATGCACCCGCCTTCACTGGGACGCTATTTGTGCCACCATTTTGTACTCTGTGTAATGGCTGACACGCCGCCGCGTGGCTGAGAGAATCCTAAATCGGAACTTACTGGTCACGTGACCAAACTCAACCTCCAAACAGGAAATTCCTGTGTACACACACCCCCACACCTGCCGTGAGGCAGAACAACACTCGTGCCTCACAACACCAAGGCCCTGAGTTCGATTCTTTGACCTGGGTCACCTTCCTGGGTGGACTTTGCATTTTATCTCCCTCTGTTCCGCGTGGGTTCCCTCCGGGTTCGCCAGTTTCCTACCACGCTCCCCTCCCGGCGCCTGCGCATCGGGGGGGGGGGGGGGTGCAGTTGCACCGCCTGCATACTCTCCAACTACACCACTAAGTGGAGCCCTAGGGCCAAGCCTTATTGTGAGCTTTACGAGCCTCTAGAATGAACAGTGAACCCGAAGGCAGACTTAGCCTGGAAGGGTACCATGAGTCCAAATGGTGGAGCACGATTGGCGTGGGCCCTGTGCAAGGAAGGAAGTGGGCCGCTCCCTCTCCAATTCCCCCCCGCCGTACCTGGGCACCTCTGGCCCTCCAGCCACAGTGCCGGCCGCACCACACGATAGCTAGGCCACTGTCCTTTGGTCCGCATTAAAAATACAATATGCTTTAGGTCCGTTGACCCGGCCTCCCAGATTATTACGTGAAACCAGGGGCACGTGTTCAAGCAAAGGAAACGCTGCAATGGCTTTGACCTTGCGGCTCACCATCGGAGGAGTCAGGCTTTGTTAAACAATCGCCGCCGGTTTTCGGCGGCGATTGAATAGGGGCCCCCGTGAGCGCAGTAATCAAATGTGTTTTCTCGAATTTCATTTGAGGCGGCGTCCTTTGAGGCTTCGGAGGTCAGGGCTCTGAGCTGGCGCAGCCGAGACGCCCGGTTCGGATCGATTAAACCCTTGCTCTCAAGCGCGACGATTGTACCCAAACAACAAAAGGGCAGCCCTATCGCATCCGGACTCGGTTCTGCATTTCACTTGGGCCAAATTTCAGCGCGGAGGATTCACCGCATCGGATTGAGCGGCAAGCGGTCCGAGCGAGGGAGCACTCTTCCACAATGCGTGGACCAGGGTGTGCATGACTTACCAAAATAAGAGATTTCAGAAATACTTCTGCGATATCCGCTTTCCCTTGTGCCATTCGCAACGTAGTGGGGGCGGGGGGAGGGGTTGGATATTTTTTACAGGAATTCAGAAAGGGATTCTTCGTCTTGTGATGTTACACCGATAGCACGGGAGAAAATAAATTGGGGGGGGGGGGGAGGGGGAGATGACGATCGTTTTTAATGGGGAAAGAGCGAATAATAATAATACACTGTAACGTGATAACAACTGTAATGTCAATAGCTTCAAAAAGTCAAAGAGTCTCTCCATTTGTTCGCCATCGTTGTCAACGCGTGGCCTGGAATCTTCTCTCCAGGTGGTCTCCAGAGTCCGGAGGCGACACATTTCTCGTGGAATTTTGTTGCAAATTCTCAGAACTGTCAAAACATTGTTTTGAAGCACGCTGCGTGCATTATCACCGCGTTACGAGGGAGGGGGGTGGGGGAGGACGTCAACATAGGCCTCCAGTCCGCGTGTTGTCCGCGGTGCCGATTCCCGGGCCCACCGATCAAGTCGACTTCGGGGCCATGGTCGGTTTGCTTGAGTCAGTGGGTAATCTGGGGGTGAGCCCAGCCTCGCCACCACGGTGATTCAGTCGGCTCGGTGACCCTTTTACAGCCCCCAAGGAATTGTCTTGGAGGTCTCTCTTCGCCAGGTCGAATAATGTCGTGAAGGTATTCACACCTGATGATGATTGCTTGTGTTACAGTCGAAACGTCGTGAGAATTTTATTGTTTTATATTTTTATTATTTTGTTTCCCTTCTACGTGACTTTACCGAACGAACCAAGAATTTGAATCCCTGCAGTCACGAAAGCTATAAATCAAAATTGAATGTTGTGAACGGTTTTATTCATTTGGTCTACTGTTATTTTGATTGCCTCGTTAATCGGTTAATTGAATGGTTAGGTAAATGTTTGATTGATTGACTCATTGATGTGTTGAAATATGCTCACTCAATTGACTTGTTTCTTGAATTATTTTGCATTGATTGCTCCATTGGAAGCAGAGGCAACGAAAGTAAGTCTCTTCCAGACTTCAGGAAGAGCATAGAAGACAAATGTTCCACTGTCACTGAACGTTCTAGTGTCACACCACTGAACGTTCCAGTGTCACGGCACTGAACGTTCCACCGTCACGCCGCTGAACGTTCCAGTGTCATGCCGCTGAACGTTCCAGTGTCACGCCACTGAACGTTCCACTGTCACTGAACGTTCCAGTGTCACGCCACTGAACGTTCCAGCGGCACGCCGCTGAATGTTCCAGTGTCACGCCGCTGAACGTTCCAGTGTCACACCACTGAACGTTCCAGTGTCATGCCGCTGAATGTTCCAGTGTCATGCCGCTGAACGTTCCAGTGTCACGCCTCTGAACGTTCCAGTGTCACACCACTGAACGTTCCAGTGTCACACCACTGAACGTTCCAGTGTCATGCCGCTGAACGTTCCAGTGTCATGCCGCTGAACATTCCAGTGTCAATGCCACTGAACGTTCCAGTGTCATGCCGCTGAACGTTCCAGTGTCACGCCTCTGAACGTTCCAGTGTCACACCACTGAACGTTCCAGTGTCATGCCGCTGAACGTTCCAGTGTCATGCCACTGAACGTTCCACTGTCACTGAACGTTCCAGTGTCACGCCGCTGAACGTTCCAGTGTCACGCCACTGAACGTTCCAGTGTCACGCCGCTGAACGTTCCAGTGTCATGCCGCTGAACGTTCCAGTGTCATGCCGCTGAACGTTCCAGTGTCACGCCTCTGAACGTTCCAGTGTCACACCACTGAACGTTCCAGTGTCACACCACTGAACGTTCCAGTGTCATGCCGCTGAACGTTCCAGTGTCATGCCGCTGAACATTCCAGTGTCAATGCCACTGAACGTTCCAGTGTCATGCCGCTGAACGTTCCAGTGTCACGCCTCTGAACGTTCCAGTGTCACACCACTGAACGTTCCAGTGTCATGCCGCTGAACGTTCCAGTGTCATGCCGCTGAACGTTCCAGTGTCACGCCTCTGAACGTTCCAGTGTTACACCGCTGAACGTTCCAGTGTCACACCACTGAACGTTCCAGTGTCATGCCGCTGAACGTTCCAGTTTCAATGCCACAGAACGTTCCAGTGTCACGCCTCTGAACATTCCAGTGTCACGCCTCTGAACGTTCCAGTGTCACGCCTCTGAACGTTCCACCGTCATGCCGCTGAACGTTCCAGTGTCATGCCGCTGAACGTTCCAGTGTCAATGCCACTGAACGTTCCAGTGTCATGCCGCTGAACGTTCCAGTGTCACGCCTCTGAACGTTCCAGTGTTACACCGCTGAACGTTCCAGTGTCACGCCTCTGAATGTTCCAGTGTCACACCACTGAACGTTCCAGTGTCACACCACTGAACGTTCCAGTGTCATGCCGCTGAACGTTCCAGTGTCATGCCGCTGAACGTTCCAGTGTCACGCCTCTGAACGTTCCAGTGTCACGCCGCTGAACGTTCCAGTGTCACGCCACTGAACGTTCCAGTGTCACGCCGCTGAACGTTCCAGTGTCACGCCGCTGAACGTTCCAGTGTCACACCACTGAACGTTCCAGTGTCATTCCACTGAACGTTCCAGTGTCATGCTGCTGAACGTTCCAGTGTCACGCCGCTGAACATTCCAGTGTCATGCCGCTGAACGCTCCAGTGTCATGCCACTGAACGTTCCAGTGTCAATGCCACTGAACGTTCCAGTGTCATGCCGCTGAACGTTCCAGTGTCACGCCTCTGAATGTTCCAGTGTCACACCACTGAACGTTCCAGTGTCACACCACTGAACGTTCCAGTGTCATGCCGCTGAACGTTCCAGTGTCATGCCGCTGAACGTTCCAGTGTCACGCCTCTGAACGTTCCAGTGTCACACCACTGAACGTTCCAGTGTCATGCCGCTGAACGTTCCAGTGTCATGCCGCTGAACGTTCCAGTGTCACGCCTCTGAACGTTCCAGTGTCACACCACTGAACGTTCCAGTGTCATGCCGCTGAACGTTCCAGTGTCACGCCACTGAACGTTCCAGTGTCACGCCGCTGAACGTTCCAGTGTCATGCCGCTGAACGTTCCAGTGTCACACCACTGAACGTTCCAGTGTCATTCCACTGAACGTTCCAGGGTCATGCTGCTGAACGTTCCAGTGTCACGCCGCTGAACATTCCAGTGTCATGCCGCTGAACGCTCCAGTGTCATGCCACTGAACGTTCCAGTGTCAATGCCACTGAACGTTCCAGTGTCATGCCGCTGAACGTTCCAGTGTCACGCCTCTGAACGTTCCAGTGTTACACCGCTGAACGTTCCAGTGTCACGCCTCTGAATGTTCCAGTGTCACACCACTGAACGTTCCAGTGTCACACCACTGAACGTTCCAGTGTCATGCCGCTGAACGTTCCAGTGTCATGCCGCTGAACGTTCCAGTGTCACGCCTCTGAACGTTCCAGTGTCACACCACTGAACGTTCCAGTGTCATGCCGCTGAACGTTCCAGTGTCACACCAGTGAACGTTCCACCGTCACGCCGCTGAACGTTCCAGTGTCATGCCGCTGAACGTTCCAGTGTCACGCCACTGAACGTTCCAGTGTCATGCCGCTGAACGTTCCAGTGTCAAGCCTCTGAACATTCCAGTGTCACACCACTGAACGTTCCAGTGTCACGCCACTGAACGTTCCACCGTCACGCCGCTGAACGTTCCAGTGTCATGCTGCTGAACGTTCCAGTGTCACGCCGCTGAACATTCCAGTGTCATGCCGCTGAACGCTCCAGTGTCATGCCACTGAACGTTCCAGTGTCAATGCCACTGAACGTTCCAGTGTCATGCCGCTGAACGTTCCAGTGTCACACCACTGAACGTTCCAGTGTCATGCCACTGAACGTTCCAGTGTCATGCCGCTGAACGTTCCAGTGTCAATGCCACTGAACGTTCCAGTGTCATGCCGCTGAACGTTCCAGTGTCACGCCTCTGAACGTTCCAGTGTTACACCGCTGAACGTTCCAGTGTCACACCACTGAACGTTCCAGTGTCATGCCGCTGAACGTTCCAGTGTCAATGCCATAGAACGTTCCAGTGTCACACCACTGAACGTTCCAGTGTCACGCCTCTGAACATTCCAGTGTCACGCCTCTGAACGTTCCAGTGTCACGCCTCTGAACGTTCCACCGTTATGCCGCTGAACGTTCCAGTGTCATGCCGCTGAACGTTCCAGTGTCAATGCCACTGAACGTTCCAGTGTCATGCCGCTGAACGTTCCAGTGTCACGCCTCTGAACGTTCCAGTGTTACACCGCTGAACGTTCCAGTGTCACGCCTCTGAATGTTCCAGTGTCACACCACTGAACGTTCCAGTGTCACACCACTGAACGTTCCAGTGTCATGCCGCTGAACGTTCCAGTGTCATGCCGCTGAACTTTCCAGTGTTACACCGCTGAACGTTCCAGTGTCACGCCAGTGAACGTTCCACCGTCACGCCGCTGAACGTTCCAGTGTCATGCCGCTGAACGTTCCAGTGTCACGCCACTGAACGTTCCAGTGTCATGCCGCTGAATGTTCCAGTGTCAAGCCTCTGAACGTTCCAGTGTCACACCACTGAACGTTCCAGTGTCACGCCACTGAACGTTCCACCGTCACGCCGCTGAACGTTCCAGTGTCATGCTGCTGAACGTTCCAGTGTCACGCCGCTGAACATTCCAGTGTCATGCCGCTGAACGCTCCAGTGTCAATGCCACTGAACGTTCCAGTGTCAATGCCACTGAACGTTCCAGTGTCATGCCGCTGAACGTTCCAGTGTCACACCACTGAACGCTCCAGTGTCATGCCACTGAACGTTCCAGTGTCATGCCGCTGAACGTTCCAGTGTCAATGCCACTGAACGTTCCAGTGTCATGCCGCTGAACGTTCCAGTGTCACGCCTCTGAACGTTCCAGTGTCATTCCACTGAACGTTCCACTGTCACTGAACGTTCCAGTGTCACACCGCTGAACGTTCCAGTGTCATACCACTGAATGTTCCAGTGTCACACCGCTGAACGTTCTAGTATCATGCCGCTGAACGTACCAGTGTCATACCACTTAACATTCCACCGTCACACCACAGAACGTTCCAGTGTCACACCACAGAACGTTCAGTGTCACGCCGTTGAACGTTCCAGTGTCACACCGTTGAACGTTCCAGTGTCACACCACTGAACATTCCACCGTCACACCACTGAACATTCCACCGTCACACCACTGAACGTTCCAGTGTCACGCTGCCGAACATTATATTGTCACACCGCTGAACGTCGCGCTGCTGTGCACATTCCGCGCAACGGGTGCAGGGGTGTTGGTGAGCGCCAAGGTGGGCACCAACCACAGAAACAGCTGGCACGGCTATTCTGAGGTCAACATCCAGGTCCCGACCGACCAGGGCAGCCTGAAGATCCACGTGACCGCCACCCACCTGCACCTCAACCTGCCACACAACTTGAGCGTGTCCCTGCAGACGAACAGCAACTACCAGATCGACAACGTCACTGTGCGTGTGGAATGGGACAAGGCGGTGGTCGTGAGCGTCGCCGGCGGCGTGGAGATCGTGGCGTCGATCCACGGCGCCAAGCGCCGACATCAGCTGGCGCTGTCCGTTCTGAATCCGCGAGGGCTGTCGCCAGCGACCAAGGGGCTCCTGGGTGAGTGAGCGGACCGGGAGTCTTGCACCATTTGTCCCAACTGTCATGCCGGAGCGTCGAATCGACCCGGCGACGGTTGGGAATGCCAGTCCGGTGTGGCAACCCTTACACCGCCGTGGCAGCTCCCAGCTCCGTATCAGCGCCCTTCAAAAAAAATTCTCGAATTTCCCCTCGTCCGAAATGCGAGACATCGCAGACCGTCGCGACAATTCCCTGGGCGTCTCTCGCTCCTAAACGATGAAACTGAACTATGCTATTTTATTTGACTGGGTAAGGCCCCACTGAGCTGCACAGCTATTTTTCAGAAGCGACCTGACTATGACAAATGATTGCTCAACGGAGGAGCGGCTTATTGTCACGTGGAAGTTTACAGCAGCCAAATACTCTTAATCGCGTGATGTTGATTCTAAATGCGGAGGGAAAAACCGGAGGACCCGGAGAAAGATTCACACATCCACGGGGAGAGACACAGGCAAACTCCAGATATACAACAGGCGTCACGGTCGGGATCAAACCCCCTATTTGTATGCCAGGCGAGGTAGTTAACATCTCACCACCTTGGCGTCTCAAGACGTTCCTCGTGGGGATTTGGGATTGCGACTCTCTGCTGCATCGCCATCCCAGTTTAAAGGCGGCCTTCGTGCACTCACGAGGAGGACCTCAAGAGAACTCGAGACGCACCCAATCGGAGAGCGGTCGCGACGGGCGACGAGGGATCGTGGGGAGACGTTAGAACCCCATGCCGATATAAAGGCGGTCCGAGTGGCTGTGCTGCAGGAGGGGACTGCGTGCCCATCATTCAGACCTCCTGAACACGGCTAAGCCAAGGGAACTGGCGTGTGCGGAACCCGACAGGGGTTGAAGGGGTGTGCCAGGATTGGCTGTCGAAACGTCCGGAGATGAAACGACCACGGCTACGGTCGGGGCGTCTTCTTGCCGAGATCTCTTTGCCCCTTACTCAACATTGTTGAGATGTCAAGCTCTCTCTCTACCCCCCCCCCCCATCCCAGGCGTGCTTCTGCACCAGAACGTGAGGCTGCTTCCTCCTCCCCACATTGCCGCGTACCCCGGGCTGAGCACACACCTGGCCCCGTCCATCTCCATCGGCTCGCGCACGCTGAGCGTCCTGAGGAAGGACCTGGAGCCCGCGACCTCGGAGTCACCGTCGGAGTGCCTGCAGACCGACTTCGCGCTGCTGGGCGCCTAGGCTCTCGCGTCGGTCGCCACGTCGGGAGCGAAGAGAATTTCCCCCCCGACGATTTCGCCCGGCCACCGTCATCACTGCTCACTTGTCGTCGCCGAGTCACGGGCGCTCGTTCATTATAGGAGGGGTCCCGGCTACGTCTCACGGATCGACGATTTCCGTGGGGTTTTTTTGTTTGTTCCTAATCGTTGAAATTTTTTTCTGGTTTCGTGGGCCGTGTCGCCCACAATTCGCATCCACCATGAACACAAACCACGCGAGGCTAAATGATTAATAACAGGCGCTGCCGGCGGCGAGGTGTTAACTACCTCGCCTGGTATACAGGAAGCGGTGGGTTCGATCACGACGCTGACGCCTGCTGTATATTTGGAGTTTGCGTGTCTCTCTCTCTCTCCCCGTGGCCGTGTGGCTTTTTCTCCAGGTCCTCCGGGTTTTCCCCCCTCCACATTTCGAATCAACATCGCGTGTTTTAGAGTATTTGGACGCAATAAATGTACGCGTGATGACAAGCCACTTCGATGAGCTGTCATTTGTGGCCAAGTCACTTCCGAAAAAGAACTGCGTAGCTCAGTGGGCCTGGCAACATAAAAAATAAAAAGTTAAAACAGTTTTAATACACCCGCGGTATTAACCAGGGCGGCTATAAGGTTCGAACCACGAACCTCTGCAACAGCGGTGGAAACTGTGCGGTCATCCCGAATCGTGGCGTTCCACCCGATGCCGCGTGACGAAAGACGGCTCGCAACTCCCAAACGTTTGGCGTTTGGCGACGCTTTCAAGCGTCCGTGCGCGTCACGTCAGGGCACCTGCGGGCGATCGATATAATAACAAAAAAACGAGCGGCTGGCGGCCACAGCTGCCGCGGAACTGGACGTGGGATTGGTCGGGAGGTTCAACTTGGGGACGGCGGGCTGGGTGGGTGGGTAGGGGGGGGGGGGTAGAACGCGGTAAGATGGGATGACGAGGTGTAAGACCGTTGGGGGCGGTTAGGTAAGAGAGAAAAGTGATTGGTGAGAAGAGGAGGAAGAGGTGGGGCACAACAAGAGGACATTCCAGAAGGTTCTAAAAGAAAGGGAGGGGCGGCTCGGAGTATAAAAGTGGGGGGGGGGGTCATGGAGAGAGCACGTGGTGCGGCGGGAATTCACTGACTTGCAGTGGTTGTTGTACGCATGTATGCACCTGTGTATGTTGAACGTCTTTCGCGCCGTGCGTAGCCAACCGCGCTAATCGGAAGTATCGTGGCTGCAGCACGTGACATTTTGCAGAAAATCCAAGTTGACACCCACCTGGGCAAGGTCAAATATAATGGAGACCCATTTTTCGTCATATCACTCAGTTCCCCCTCCCCCCTCGCCCATGGAACTAAACAGATAGATCCCTTGTTCGAGCTTTAAAGGACAACATGCAGTGTGTTCTCCTATAACGCGGGAGTAGTTGCCTTCCTGAAGAACAACCAAGTTATGGAAAAAAAAACGGCGTGATAATAAATAATATAGGGGGCAAAGCGCAGCCCGCGATAGCACGCGGTATGCGTGACACAGGCCGAACAAAGACCGAGGCGCGTGGGTAGCGTCCATAAGCATCCAGCAGCATCCCCAACGCCCTGCGCGACGAGGCTACGCCGAGGCAGCCGTACGACCGCTCGTTCCTACTCGCGCTGCGACGCAGTTCCATTGTGTCCAATTCATATGCGCGTCATAAAAAACCATGAGTTTTTCCTCGTACATTCATCATCGCGTTATGTATCCAATTCGCGTCATGAAAACACGCGGACTGTACTCGCCTTTCTACATAAACTATTAGCGAAGGCACCAGTGACTGGACCGGTTGCCAAGGGTCAAATCTCGATGACCTATATCTGCGAAAGGGGCGGTCACATTTACCTAAACCTTGGGTGGAAGCAATTCTTTGCCAAATGCAAAAGTGGTCCGCCAAATTTCACCGAAAGCTGGTTCATTTGGTGTGGAAATTACCCCAAAGCGGAGAAAGATACGATGAGCTGGAATTTAAATATTGGGGGCAGGGTGGTGGTGGTGGTGGTGGTAAACTCTCGTGCGTTCAAGAGAATAGGTTTTGCAACGATGCATTGCTTTGCCATCAATTGAAATTGATCATTGTGGTCGTGATGCAGGTATCTGAACGTGTGAGAGAGAATCGCCTGTTCAAGAGTCATTAAAAAGTTACATCGAGGCTCTGGGAGTGGACACAACTTTACAAACAAGAGGCAAAAAACGCGAGCCAGAATGAGAACCCGATTCCTGACTTGAATCTCAAGGAAGATGTTTTGACAATAGTTGTGCAAGATCGAACATCTAAAATGGTTTCTTATAGCTCCATCGTTCCCTCGTTATGGTTGGGAGCCTGCTGCTGTTACGTGTGGGGTGGTGGCACTCGGTTCTGAACCTCACAGCACTTGGTTCTGAGTGAAGCAGCAGTCGGGGTGATTGATGATCCAGCAGTCAACGATTCACTCCACTCAGCCAACCATTCACTCACCCACCCTCACACCCAGTCACTCAGTGATTGGTGATCCAGCAGTCACCAGTTCACTCACTCACCCACACATTCAGGGTGATTGATGATCCAGCAGTCAACGATTCACTCCACTCACCCAACCATTCACTCACTCACCCTCACACCCAGTCACTCAGTGATTGGTGATCCAGCAGTCACCAGTTCACTCACTCACCCACACATTCAGGGTGATTGATGATCCAGCAGTCAACGATTCACTCCACTCACCCAACCATTCACTCACCCACCCTCACACCCAGTCACTCAGTGATTGGTGATCCAGCAGTCACCAGTTCACTCACTCACCCACACATTCAGGGTGATTGATGATCCAGCAGTCAACGATTCACTCCACTCACCCAACCATTCACTCACTCACCCTCACACCCAGTCACTCAGTGATTGGTGATCCAGCAGTCACCCGTTCACTCACTGACCCACACATTCAGGGTGATTGATGATCCAGCAGTCAAAGATTCACTCCACTCAGCCAGCCTTTCACTCACCCACCCTCACACCCAGTCACTCAGTGATTGGTGATCCAGCAGTCACCCGTTCACTTACTCACCCACACATTCAGGGTGATTGATGATCCAGCAGTCAACGATTCACTCCACTCAGCCAACCATTCACTCACCCACCCTCACACCCAGTCACTCAGTGATTGGTGATCCAGCAGTCACCAGTTCACTCACTCACCCACACATTCAGGGTGATTGATGATCCAGCAGTCAACGATTCACTCCACTCAGCCAACCATTCACTCACCCACCCTCACACCCAGTCACTCAGTGATTGGTGATCCAGCAGTCACCAGTTCACTCACTCACCCACACATTCAGGGTGATTGATGATCCAGCAGTCAACGATTCACTCCACTCACCCAACCATTCACTCACTCACCCTCACACCCAGTCACTCAGTGATTGGTGATCCAGCAGTCACCCGTTCACTCACTGACCCACACATTCAGGGTGATTGATGATCCAGCAGTCAAAGATTCACTCCACTCAGCCAACCTTTCACTCACCCACCCTCACACCCAGTCACTCAGTGATTGGTGATCCAGCAGTCACCCGTTCACTCACTCACCCACACATTCAGGGTAATTGATGATCCAGCAGTCAACGATTCACTCCACTCAGCCAACCATTCACTCACCCACCCTCACACCCAGTCACTCAGTGATTGGTGATCCAGCAGTCACCAGTTCACTCACTCACCCACACATTCAGGGTGATTGATGATCCAGCAGTCAACGATTCACTCCACTCACCCAACCATTCACTCACTCACCCTCACACCCAGTCACTCAGTGATTGGTGATCCAGCAGTCACCCGTTCACTCACTGACCCACACATTCAGGGTGATTGATGATCCAGCAGTCAAAGATTCACTCCACTCAGCCAACCTTTCACTCACCCACCCTCACACCCAGTCACTCAGTGATTGGTGATCCAGCAGTCACCCGTTCACTCACTGACCCACACATTCAGGGTGATTGATGATCCAGCAGTCAACGATTCATTCCACTCACCCAACCATTCACTCACTCACCCTCACACCCAGTCACTCAGTGATTGGTGATCCAGCAGTCACCCGTTCACCCATTCACCCACACATTCAGGGTGATTGATGATCCAGTGCTCACCAATGCACTCCACTCACGCACCCATTCACTCACTCACCCTTACACCCAGTCTCTCAGTGATTGATGATCCAGCATTCACCCATTCATTCACTCACTCACACATTCAGGGTGATTGATGATCCAGTACTCACCAATGCACTCCACTCACCCACCCATTCACTCACCCTCACACCCAGTCACTAGGTGATTGATGATCCAGCAGTCACCCATTCATTCACTTACGCACCCACACGTTCAGGATGATTGATGATCCAGTACTCACCAATGCACTCCACTCACCCAACCATTCACTCACTCACCCTTACACCCAGTCTCTCAGTGATTGATGATCCAGCATTCACCCATTCATTCACTCACTCACACATTCAGGGTGATTGATGATCCAGTACTCACCAATGCACTCCACTCACCCAACCATTCACTCACCCACCCTCACACCCAGTCACTCAGTGATTGGTGATCCAGCAGTCACCCGTTCACTCACTCACCCACACATTCAGGGTGATTGATGATCCAGTACTCACCAATGTACTCCACTCACGCACCCATTCACTCACCCACCCTCACACCCAGTCACTCAGTGATTGATGATCCAGCAATCACCCATTCATTCACTTACGCACCCACACATTCAGGATGATTGATGATCCAGTACTCACCAATGCACTCCACTCACCCATTCATTCACTCACTCACCCTTACACCCAGTCACTCAGTGATTTATGATCCAGCAGTCATCCACTCACTCACTCACACATTCAGGATGATTGATGATCCAGTACTCACCAATGCACTCCACTCACCCACCCATTCACTCACCCTCACACCCAGTCACTAGGTGATTGATGATCCAGCAGTCACCCATTCATTCACTTACGCACCCACACGTTCAGGATGATTGATGATCCAGTACTCACCAATGCACTCCACTCACCCAACCATTCACTCACTCACCCTCACACCCAGTCACTCGGTGATTGATGATCCAGCAATCACCCGTTCACTCACTCACCCACACATTCAGGGTGATTGATGATCCAGTACTCACCAATGCACTCCACTCACCCACCCATTCACTCACTCACCCTGACACCCAGTCACTAAGTGATTGATGATCCAGCAGTCACCCATTCATTCACTTACGCACCCACACGTTCAGGATGATTGATGATCCAGTACTCACCAATGCACTCCACTCACCCACCCATTCACTCACTCACCCTCACACCCAGTCACTCAGTGATTGATGATCCAGCAGTCACCCGTTCACTCACTCACCCACACATTCAGGGTGATTGATGATCCAGTACTCACCAATGCACTCC